CGTGAAACTGCTCCACGAGGAGTCCAAAGACATTGCTGGCATGCTGAGCCAACTGCCAGCAGAGGTGAGGCCTTTGCACACTAGGGTGAAAATTTGGGCAGCCGACAACTGTGGTCGACTTACACTTCACGCCCAGGGGCTCCTTGAGCTCATCCGCCTGCTGCTGCCACCTTGGTAGCCTGCCTGCCTGCCTGCCTGCCTGCCTGCCTGCCTGCCTGCCTGCCTGCCTGCCTGCCTGCCTGCCTGCCTGCCTGCCTGCCTGCCTGCCTGCCTGCCTGCCTGCAAGGGCACCCATCGAGCTGATCCGGGCCCTCAGAAAGCACGCCCTCTCCTTGTCCTCCCGGCCGGCCCTTCTCCCCCGCCAGGTCAGCGTGGAGGAGACCGTCAAAGTGCACGTGCTGGGCCTGCCGCCGCGTGGCGACGGGCGGACTGCGTCGATGGTTGGCGGCCAGTCTGGCATGATGATGGGGCCAGACGGGATGATGATGGCAGGGCCACCAGGCGTGAGCGGCCCGGCGGGGGCGGGCATGATAATGGGACGGCCGCCCGGCATGATGGGCCTCGGCACGCGCATCCCCGTGCCGCCGGGGCAGCCCGGGATGTACGCTGGCGGTGGCGGCGACGGCTTTGGCCCTGGGATGTATGGTGGCGCAGACGGGGCTGTGGCGGCCAACGTGAGGGGCCGCGGGCGCGCACCTGGCTACTATTGAAGGACAAGAGGGCGGCCTCGCTGCTGGCAGACTGCCCCGTGGTACAGTGCGTAGGGAGCGTCACAGAGTCGTGGCAAGCAAAGACGGCTCCTTCCAAGAGCTTCGTATATTAAGTGCCCTGCTTACCTAGGGTCTAAGCTGCGGCATCGGCATCTGAACACCAGCGCCTGGCAATCTCCTCCGCGCCTTGGCACTTGCCTGTGTGCCAACCACACCCAACCAAACATGTGGTGAGGGGGTCCGCCTCCCCCAAGAAGTGACCAAACGAGTCTGAACTGGGCGGTCTCGCTCTCAAGTTATGGATGGCAATGCCAAGCCCCTTCTCTCATTGCCCCTCCTTCGCGGGGCCATGGCGCCTTTGAGTTTACACTGAGGGCACCAGGAACTGTGCAGGACGACTGCTGGAGCAACACTGCGTCACAAGCTGCGGTCCTGCAATATCCTTCCTTGTGGTGCCTGCCTGCAACTGCGCAGGTCGCACATATTGCCGCCATTACATGATGCTGGGGTCTGCAGGGAGCCCTGTCGGCTTTCATCAAGCATGCTATGAATTGCCTCATTTTTGTTCCCTGCTTGCCTCTGTCTGTCTGCATGCTACAGCCCAAATCACACTGTTCTGCCGCCCAATTCATGCCAGGCCCTGCCAGCAGCCCGGCCGCATTCACCCAGATTCGCCCCGCATGTTTCGTAGTACCAGCAGCTCGCACCCACTTGCCTTCTGCCCCGGTGACTTGCTGATTTCTCGTCAACACACGTGCGTCTTGCCTCTGTTGCTGTGGCGGCCCTTTGCCGGCTGCATGGCAGCCGTGTTGACAGCTTTGTGTAATCTATGGGGACTCAGCATTGGTGCAACGCAAGATTTAACCAAGCAGATAACAGCGGCATTCTCTGGCAAGAGAGTAGCCACACGAAGCAGCATACACTGACCACACATACACACGCAGACGGACAGAGTGCACATTCGTAAAATGACGTATGTGGGCAAAACAATCACGACGGTCATGCAATGGTGCCCTACTCAAACAGCAGCGCGTGACCCAGCCGCACAACCAGTGCCGCCCCCACCACCACTGCCACTTGTGCGCTATAGTCCCACGCAAACAGGGGGCCCAGGCCCACAGGGGGCCAGGCTGTGGGGTCGTAGCCTGTGCCGCCTTGAGGAAGAGGTGATGCAGAAGAGGGAGCAAAAGCTGAGGCTGCAATGTACAGGTGACGAGCTGCCTGCATCCCTCTAACTGACGGCCATGCCACCCCGTTAGGCGCGTGTGGGCTGCCGAATTATATTCGGGTACTTGATGCACCTCAGACATGGGCATCCCTGCCTGCATTACGGAGGTGGTCGGCCATTACTACTAGTCACCACCCCCCCTCCTGCCGCAAGGCTGGTTGCACTCACCCCAGGGGTTGCACCTCATCAGTCGCCAGGCCGTGAGCACGGTGCCCTTCCACACCCCGTGAGCCTTGTACGAGTCGATGGAGTACTGGGAGCATGTCGGCAGGAACCTGGGTGGGTTGGGGGAGAGGGCGAGCCGCACGGCAGAGATGCAGGGGAGGGTGTACAAGCGAGAGAGGGCACGCTCGCCGTGGCTGTGATTGCACGATGACGGATCTGAAAGAAATGGCAGCGCAGGTTGCCTTGACAGCCTCCTACACAAGCCACGTCCTCTGCTGAACGCCGCAGCCGCCACAACCCCCACCACCATTCCACATGCGCCTGGTGGTTGCCACCCCTGCGTGTCGCCCCCCAAACTCCCCACCTGCAAGTTGACTGCATGAGGGGGGACAGGCCCTGGCGGTAGAACTTGAGCAGCGCCAGCGCTGCGCGCACCCCTAGGCCGTCCTGCTCCTCACCCCGCGCCTCAACCGCACCACCCCTAGCAGCAGCGAGATCGGACGCCGACGCCTGCGGGCGCGGACCCGGCCGGGGGCTGTCCGGTCTGCTGCTGCTCTCCTCAAGTGATTTCGGCTGCGTCGAGGGCGCAGCCGGGTCGACAGGCCCGAGATGCGGCCCATCACCGCTGCCATTGCTGCCGACGGTGGCGAGCAGCAACGGTTGCGTGCCAAGACGGTTCGTCATGCTGACAGCGGCCGCTTGAAGCTCTGCCCATGAGATCAAATGTGCCTGCGTTGACAACCATCAACTGCAGTGAGGGGTGTGATTCCATGCGGCCCAATGCGGCCGCAAACGTCGTGTGCTGGGCCAGGCGCCGCACCTGCTGTTGCGACTGGCAGCGTTCATGGCTGCGCACATCCCGCCTAGATGTGGTCGCGATATTCGCAGGTATCGAAACGATGCACTTCAAGCAGGCTCGCGGGCCCCTATGGACAGCTCGCGACGGCCTGGTTTGGCGCAGCATCGCGCCGCTAGTCTACTGATAATTGTATATTATGTGGGAGGCTTTTAGATTGTCAGTGACATTCAAAAGACAGGACCACACATTGCGGGTGGATTCAACCATGTGCACTCACAGCCATCTCACCAAGTGCCTCACGCTGTGTCTATTTTGTCACCAGTGAATTTGTGTAGAACGCACAACCATGGAGCCGTTGAGATGCTTGAAGCGCATCTGGCTTTGTTTGTTGCCGCTAATGGCAAGCCCTGGCCTCCTCTTGAGGCAATGGCGGGCGGCAGGGTTGACTGCCGTGAGACTGGGGTTCGCAGTCGCGGGTGCGGCCCCCATGCTCCCCACCACTTCTGTGCTTCAGCACCTGCAAGATGCTACTGAGTTGCACAGCAGCACGTCAATGCGCCGCGCTTCGAGCCTCCGGCCCTGTGCTCGCCTCTGCAGGTCAGTCCTACCTTGCTGCGGGGTCAAGATCAGCCTGTGCGAGTGCCCGTGCACGGCAGCCGGCCCACGCCTCAGCTGTCAACTCTGCCTGCGGATCGTGACATGAAATTGGCCCCCTGGACGGCAAATGGCACGCAGGACAGAGTGATGCATGTGGTGTGCTGTGGAGGGATCTCGCCATGCTGCCTGGGGGAGCAGCACGTGCGCCGCAACCGCCATGGCGGAGGCCCAGAGGGAGGGGGCAAGAGTAGGAAAGGTGCTGAAGTCTTGCACTGTCCGACGCAGCTGTGCATTAGCCTCCTGACATGCATCAACCATGACTGACAGGGTGCTCACATGGCCACGTGCAGGGTGGGTGGTCAAGCGGGTTACTGGAATAAAAAGAAATGGCGGTGCAAAAGCGTAACATTGCAGACACGAGGGGGTATTGGCGTACTGAACGGGTGCCATCGCGCCCCCTTAACGTCACCGCACACCGGCCCCAGGCCCGGCCACCCCATCCGACCCCGCTATAATGGGCACGGGGCGGGCCCGCGTCCCCTCCCCCTGCCC